AAAAACTCACTATTTTAGTAACTCCAGTACTGGTTAAAGTTGAAGTAGGTTGCATTGGAATTGTCTTGTATTTTCTATGTGGTTGAGCTGGCTTGCATTAGAATTTTCACAATTTTTATCATGAATTACTTAAACATTTTGTTGTAACAGAACTTCTTGATGAAAAGTGAGTTAGCTTGTATTGGAATCATCATAATTTCTTTCGTGAATTTCTATAAAAACTACTATTATGAACATATTTAACGTTTAAGAAATTAACAAAAGAGGATTTAGTTATGTATATTCAGAAACTTGGTTGGATGGTATACGAAAATTGATTATAATTGTGTAAAGCGCATGAACCATTTCGTACAAAACTATAGATTTATTGTGATTACTTGAAATTTGATTGGACAGCGAAATTTTCAGGGTAGTAACGCTATACGTAGGGTTTAGTGATTCTACCCAAACCTGTTATTTAAATTGACATTACTACATAATTTTGGTTTTGAAATTGGGATTTCTACATAGTTTAGACATAAAATCCAAACCCAAATATATGTCCCAATTTTAACAATAGTGTCAAATTTAAATACTAATTAAATTTATTAGATTAGCATATCATAACTAGCGAATTTATTCAAACCGGTTATTTGAATTGTGACATTACTACATAATTTGGGTTTGGGAATTGGAATTTCTAAATAATTTAGAATAAACCAAAACCCAAATACATGTTTTGAATTCTATATCAAAAGTGTTTGAAATTATAGCAAGTTAGAGGTATTTTGCGAAACATAGTAAATACTATTTGAGATTCTACCTAATCCCAAACTAATGGGTTTTGGTAGAATCACTAGTAGGGTTGTTAATGGATGGGTTGGATTAAACTATTCCTCAACCCACTCGCCGCTCCAGATTTGCTTAAAGTTGCTCCAGTTCACTCCAGCTTCACTTCAGCATATCTTTAACTCATTCCTACTTGGGTTGTGCTCACTTCAGAGCTGCTCTGGAGTATGCTATTCCATTAACAACCCTAGCTATATGATCACTCACGGCAATATAACCTCGGGATAGTACGACTCTACGTCATCCGTAAATAGTCTCTGCTGAGAAATGTCCACATCATTATACAGGATACTATATTTGCAAATACTTTTTCAAGCCTCCCAGCTACAAGAAATAACCTTGGCCGAACAGTAAAAAAAAATATTAGGAATCTTTAGCTACGAACTTTGATGATCAATGATTATTTATTCATAAAACCCAGTAAATTTGCTGTGTTATCTTAATTTTAAAAATTATTTTAAACAATGCAACACTAGCGGATCCTATGTTATTTATGTTATTGCAGCATTGCAGTATATTCATATGAGCGGATCGTGTGCATTTCGTGATATCTAAATATGATCACGTTGCAATAAGACAGCTAATTGTGATTATGTATCGGTATTTGGTTTATTTTAATCCAATTAATTTTAGATACGTATCTGAAATTAATATTATCACATCACTTGCTTTAATATTTAGATATCACAAAATATGCACGATCCGCCCATATGTTAAACCTCTATAAGTGCACTTATAGAGAGTACATATATGGAGTGCCGATTGTATATCATTTTATCGCAACAAATTATGTGCTACACTAGGAGGCTCGTTAATTCGGGACGTCCGTGTGCGTTATTTCAAAATAAGAGTAAATCCAATACAGTCAAACCTTCTATAATTGTACGTTTTTGGGTAAAAGTGCATTTATAGAATATTCATTTACGGAGCATAATCTACATATAAAATAATTACATTAGACCGATCAAATTATGTGCACTTATCATTATAAGGAAAGGTGCAATTATAGAGAGTGCACCTATGGAGTATCGCAACAATAAATTATGTGCTACATTAGAATGCGTGTTATTTCGGGATGCCCATAATGCTAATGTTGAGAACATATTAGTTATTTTTACTTGTTGAAATCACATGCCAAACATCATGCTCTAAACGTGTTGTCTTTGTTATTTAGGTTACTTTTCATTAAAAATTTATTGCAATACTCACTGACCGAATAGAATGGTAATTTTAAGGGTATTAGTTAGTAGTAAATAAGTGTTTGTAAACATGAATCACTTTTTTAATTCACCAATTAATAGATCATCTTTATATTCGCCCACTAAATTAAGGTGAATGATAACATACGGTATTAATACAGCATATAACACTTATACGGCATGCGGCACTTCTACTTATATAGCAAATATGCCGTATCGACGTGATATCTTTGCTGGGGTAGCTACCTCCAAAATTCTAAATGACTGCACCTCTAATCCTGTGTACGTGGCTTTAATGATTAAATTAACTCCAGTTATAGTATTACGGTATCGCATTATTACAATACCAAGGCACTATAGAGTTATTATATTGGTATTACAGTATTACGCATTGCGGCGTATGAAATTAGATACTATACCGTAATTAGTTCTATCATATGGTAGAATGTCGTAATTCAGTAATTCTACCGCCAACACTAGGTGATAGGTGTGAACAATTAATTTCAGTATTGATAATATTGAAAAAATGATATTTAAATTGCTCATAAAAAAAAAAAAAGTGGCTTAAAATTTTAAACTTTTTTAAAATATATTCGGCATTTCGGTCTAGTGCACATTACGGGTTTGATCTGAACGACTCGAAACTGACTTGGGTCGTGACACCCATATACTAAATTTATTATAACTAGATCAGTTTCGGGTCGTTTAATTTAAATCTGTTAAGAGCACTATTTCGGTCCTTGTAGGTTTAATAAAATATTTATGTATGTCGATTAATTTATATGTGTGATTTTTTTTTTATAAATTATAAATCGGATTTTTTTTTTTTTCTTTCAAACATAGATATGCCGATAGTATAAGGATTTTGTATTATTCTTCCAAATTAGAACATGATTATGTGGTTCTGAGTACTAAGAAATTACTAGTATAATACATTTGTTTTACACATGGTTTTAATATCGTTTATGTTAAACAATGAATATTCTTTTTGCTCACCAGTAACTCATTGCAAATATAAATAGGGAGATAATTAGTACCTCGGGTTTAAAAAATATCCAATTATAATAAAATTATCGACATCACGAATATCTTGTACATTTTTACATAATACAACTTACATTCCAATTTATTTAACGTTAAAAACTCGAATCTCATGATATGGGAAAAATTTTGATTATTCTCCAAAGCGTATAAAAGATCAGTGATAGCCATAAATTTGAGGTATTTACTAATTTTATCGCGATGAGTAAATCCGTACAGTATGAGTATAAAATACCCAATAGCGTAGCGGATCGTATACCATATTAATCTGATACTGTATGAAATTTTGTAGAACAAAAGAACAAAAAAAAAATTCATCACCACAAGATTATACAATGAAGAATAGCACACTGCGGGAAATAAGCCGGTAGATCTCCGGTTAAATGAGGGCCCGCATTTAGCCGTGAATTTGTCTCTTATTCTCGCCGTTGCGAAAATAAATAATACTTAATCGAATTTGAAATAATCTATGTATATATATATCTATTATTAAATATTTACAGACTTGAACAATAAATATTTTGTTTTACTCGGTATAAATTGATGCAAAAAAAAATGATCCAACAGTACAGTACAGTATAATGGTAAAATTTGATAAATGATAATCAGTTATTTAATCTTGAGCTTTATACTAATGTACAGTAAACCTCTTTATAATCACACACGGGATAAAAAAATGTGGGATTGTAGAGAAGCGTAGCAATTATAGAAGTCGAATTTATTATATTTAATAATAGATTGCTTTTAAAAAAATGTGAAATGTGCTTATATATGAGGTGACTATACTGTATTATAATTTATACTGCTATATTTCAAAAACATACCAATTAACTAGGATTATATATTCGAGATAAAAATGTTCAGAACTCCAAGAAACTTATACTAATAAAAATTTGAATATTTATATTTAACTTATATTTTATTCTAAATTTAATAGTTAAGTTTTTATAAAAATTTGAATATTTATATTTAACTTATATTTTATTCTAAATTTAATAGTTAAGTTTTTATAAAAATAGAAATAAAGAATTATTATAAAATGCACCTATGGTGTTTTATACCTATTAGATTTTCTTATTATATTTTAATATTTCTAAGTTTTGTATATAAAATTTTTAACACAAAATTTTTTACATTCAAGTTAATGTTTAGAGTTAGGGTTTTAGGAAGGGTTTTTAGGGACATAGAACATTTTACTAGAATACCTCACACCGACTAATTAGCAAGTTTTTGTAATAATGTATACATAGGTATAAAACACCATAGGTGCGTTTTAGTAAAGTCGAAATAAATATCAATATCCCTTGGTGTAAATATACAGCAATATATATATATATAAATTAAATTTTTATTGATTTTATTTATATAGTTATTATATTTAAATAATTTACATAGGTCATAGATATAAGATTTAAATTTATAAATATTTTATCTTTATTAGTTTCAATAGGGTAGGGTATTGAATGAATCTGAAGAGCATTAATACAAAATCACAATCTACTTTTGTAATAAAGTAAAGGTTTTACTATATCAATTAACAATTTTGCCATCGAGAAATTTGATATTTTTTTAAATGCATTGCGAGATAAAAATGATATTTTTGCAACTCTGTCATTTTTAAAAATTTACAGTAGAAGTTCCATCTGTAATCCTATTATTTAAGATGTATAAATAGGATTTATCCGGTTTAATTAGAATGTAGTAGATTTAACTTATATCCGGATTTAATAATAGCGCGATGGGGGCCTCTTGATTTTTGGGATGTTGGAGAATCATTGAGATTCTAAATATAAAATCTAAAATTATACTATATATCTAAAATTATACTTAATTACTTAATTAATTTATATACTTGCTTTGTTTTTAGTGACGATAAATATATTTGTCCATTCTTTTTAAATATTGATATATATTTGTTAATTTCTTTTTCAAATGACTGATGCCCAAGAAACAAAACTAACAAATTGTAGGTTCAGTTTTAGTTGTCAAAGATTCTTGTACTGTGGAATTAACTTACAAAGCAATGCTGTAATTGCAACTTTATCAGATGTGCCACATAAAGATAATCAAACCTCTTCTGTAAGTCATGTATTTATATAAGGCCTACCGAATAATTGATTATAGGGGCAATTACTGTAATTGCAATTTTTCAAGCTCACTTAATTGATTGGTAGCGCAGTTACAATTGGTCAATTATTGCGGTTTGCAAAAAAATGTGAAATTTGATGATCAAAAAAAAAAGAAATCGATGATTTCTGATTCTGATTGCCGATTTTTTTTAACTTTTTAAATTAGACTTTTAGATTAGACTTTTATATTAGAATAAGCTTTATAAAATACATAATAATAAACTCAAATCTAATAATTTATTATTAGTAAAATTATGATGATTCTCGAAATATTATTAATTAATTCTATCTTTATGTTCTAAGAAACCCTAATTTTATTTTATATTTTTAATTTTAACGAAATGCATAATTTTAAATTTTGCATCCTTTTCTTTAATAAATTAAAAATATAAAGTAAAAGTATGTTGGTATGATGTATTTTGTGTGTAGAACAAATTTTTTAGAACATCAAAATATTATTAATTAATACTATTTCGAAAATTATAGTATTTTTCATAATTTTATTAGTAAAATTATGAAAAATATTATGATTCTCAAAATATTATTATTAATTCTATATTTATGTTCTAAGAAACATGTTCTACACACAAAATACATCATACTGGCATACTTTTACTTTAAATTTTTAATTTTAAAGAAAAGGATGCATAATTTTAAATTTTTGATCAAAATTTCAAAATTATACATCTACTTCTTAAAATTAAAAATATAAAATAAAAGTATGTCAGCATAATATATTTTATGTGTAGAACAAGTTATCCTAAAACATAAAGATAGAATTAATTAATAATATTTAGAGAATCATAATATTTTTTATAATTTTATTAGCAAAATTATGAAAAATATAATGATTCTCAAAATATTATTAATTAACTCTATCTTTATGTTCTAAAAAACTTGTTCTACACACAAAAATACATTATACCAGCATAATTTTCTTTATATTTTTAAATTTTTTAAAAAAGATGCATATTTTTTGAAATTTTGATCAAAATTAAACTTTCTTAGAACATAAAGATACAATTAATTAATAATATTTCGAGAATCATGATAATTTTCATAATTTTACTAATAATATATTTTCATAACTTTTGTTACCATTGATTTGCTAATATGTAATAACTCTGTAATTTTTTTTTTATTATAACCTCATAATAAAGATATACAATTCGCTAGCGAAGGTCTTCGCTAAAACAGAGGGCATTTTAAAAAAGAATAATAATAAAAAATCTATAAATTATCAAACTATATTAATAAATTATTAGATTTGAGGTTATTATTATGTATTTTATAAAGCTTATTCTAATTTAAAAGTCTAATTTAAAAGTTTAAAAAAATGTTTAAAAAAATCGGCAATCAGAATCAGAAATCATCGATTTCTTTTTTTTTTTTTTATCATCAAATTTCACGTTTTTTGCAAACGCAATAATTGCAATTTTACGTAATTAGATAATATCGTATAATGATTTTTGATTTTTGATTTTTCACTGTTTAAAAGATCAGGTTACACCAGTGAAAAAAATCGAATTTAATTGCAATTATTCCACGTCTCATTATGATCGCATGACGGGGATTTACGTGTTATTAATCATAATTTTTATCATAAATTTTTTCTTTATTTTTTTTTTCTTATTCGTTATTTCCACGGGGTGATAACAAATAAAGCCGGGGTGATAACAGGCATTTGTTATTTCCCCGAAAAGTTAAAATATAAAGGGAGACAAAGAAAATGATAAAAATAATTAATAACACGAGTCCCTGTCATGTCGTCATATGAAACGT